ACCCCAAATTTTCTGAAATTTAAATAAAAGCACTTTCAAAGTTTACTTGATGTCAAAGATAAGTTAGCATTTTAATCATACAATTGACTAACTGGTATCATATACTATACATTTTTCTATACACGTTACTTTGTATACTGGATTATGTGATAAAAGGGTAGAAATAGCTGGAAAAGTTAATGGTGTTACACAAAAAAAATGTACATTGTTACATGGAGTTTAAATTGAAACAAAAACTTTCTATATTCAAAAAAGACTGAAGTACAATTTTCAAAATAAACTTATCACAACCTTGGTAAAAACAACTTGACAACAATAACATGCTTTGATATTATGATATCCCATATGTCTGTGTATACTGTTTGTAAGTCTGAGAGAGAAAGCAGTAATTTGTTTTAATAGACTTGGGCTAAAAAGCATATATATTTGAAATTGGGACCATGTAATGTCATTTCAGCACACAGAAATATATAATACTGCCCCAAAATATACAGAAACGATTGAAGCTATACCTCAGAGGGAGCTAAGTTTTTAATATTAGAAATTAGAATATGTACAAGTAGATGTGAGATTAATGCTAAAATGTATAACTGTAATGATAGTCCTTTATAGATTACACTAGATATAGATGTGTGTATCTCAGTGATGGAATATATTTCAGTGATGAAATGTTCATGAACATAATCTGAAATTAACATCTGAATTTCTTTCATGATAAGAATTGATCAATATTCTCTGATGAAGATGATAAGTTCACAGATGACTAAATGAGGAATATACAACTATTCTCAGAGGAAAAACGTAATCTTAGACAATCTAGTTATGAAAAAATAAGTTTCCTTAAATAGAAAGCAGAAATTGTCACTCATATTCAACGTAAGTTTTTAAATCGGAAAATATTTGGAAAATATTTCAACATGAAACAGTCAAGTACAACCTGAAACTGATCTGACTGGCTTTGTTCTGTACACAAACATACCACAGAAAAACAACCTACGACATCAATTATTGTACAAAGGCTTTGTAAGGTAATCACAACTCTATAACACTTGTAAATCAATTAGTCATATCAATACAGCCCAAAAGCCTTATTCTTATTTGAAAACATCACTGTAATATTTTCTGGTTGTGTTTATCTTTCCTTTGCGATAATGTTGATATACATAATACTAGATAATACAACCGACTGAATGTGATTCAGATTATAACGTCACACTTCATAGTGTTGATATTTCCTTTGACAATCACAATCAAAGGCATTGTAATTTACAACATTTTGACAGCAGTAAAATCATTCAATGAACAAATATTCTTAAATTATTGTTTTCTAGCTGTCATTGTCACGGTACAGAGTCATGCCTAGCTATACCAAGATTTCAACTCCAACATATCCTGAACACATTTCTGTATGTTGCCCATGATGGGCTAAACGATCAATTACATGTGTAAAAAGTAAATAATTAAAACTGTCAGTTATAACAACTTTGATCTTACATCTTGACAATAAATTAATAGATGCAGGAAATTTTACCCATTCTGTTTAAAAGGCTACAAAATACAGACATATACAACAACCTTGTTAAAAGATTTACCTAAACTGCGCCAGCAACAAGACAATGGAGTGCTTCGTTCATTAGGAGAAAGGGGAAACCCCTCTAGCCGAGTCAGTAACAAGACAATGGAGTGCTTCGTTCATTAGGAGAAAGGGGAAATCCCTCTAGCCAAGTCAGTTACAAGACAATGGAGTGCTTCGTTCATTAAGGGAAAGGGGAAATCCCTCTAGCCGAGTCAGTAACAAGACAATGGAGTGCTTCGTTCATTAAGAGAACGGGGAAATCTCTCTAGCCAAGTCAGTAACAAGACAATGGAGTGCTTCGTTCATTAAGAGAACGGGGAAATCCCTCTAGCCAGGTCAGTAACAAGTGACTAAATGGTTCACTGTCATGACTAGAGTTTAATTTACCAGTACAGCACAAACAGGTAATGTAATGATTGATATATATGTGATTGTAGCGGTCAGGGTAAAGGGGGCGTGGGGAAACAGGAGGGACAGGGGTAGGGAGAGTTAGTAGTTTTGATCATGCTGTAATTTGTGAATTGTCAACATTGGAAAAGTGATTAATGAATTTCAACACCCACTTTCTATTTCAGAAATATACAGCGGGTGGGGAGGGAGCAGTTTAATGTCATCTTACGAATTTAACCCCCCCCCCCCTACCCCCCGCCTTGTATATATTCTTATCTGAAATAACCTTATCAAAGCATTCTTTTCAGTACCTCTAAAGGATTTCCTATATAGGACATAAATATGTAAATATGTACATTAAAATCAAAATCATATTTAAGTTTTAAGGTTAAAATACCTGACACAACCACACATACATGTTTGTATACATGTATACATGTATTTCCCTACGGCAAGTAAAACATAATAAAATTATAGTGTCACTACGACTACCATACTAAAATAACAAAACTTGGTTTAACTTAAATGTATACAATAACTGTTCACGAACTTATAACACCAGGCTAGGTAATGAAATATTACAGTAAAGCATACTAAAATGTACTCTATTTTCTAACCAACTTAATATGAAACCAAATCACCAAATCCTGTTTGCAGATGGTCTTATTAGACAAGTTCTCTATATAGATATATTATTTCTCTAGGCAGGTGGTCTTTCTAGACAGGATTTCTAACTAGACAGATGGTCCTGTTATACAAGTTGTCTCTATAGATATATTATCTCTTTATGCATGTGGTCTTTCTAGACAGGATTTCTAACTAGACAGGTGGTCTTATTAGACAAGTTCTCTATATAGACAAATTATCTCTCTAGGCAGGTGGTCTTTCTAGACAGGATTTCTCACGAGACAGAACTCTATAAATATGTGATATCCCTCGACAGGTCGTCACTGATTATAGGTGTAATACACAGAAATACTGACATTACAGGTAACACTGGCTGTACAACATTATAGTGATCTCAAACGTTTCACCTGTGAATCCTACGAAACCCAGAACAATTACAAATAGTAATGTAAAGTCTTTTTTTTTCAAAATTGCACGAACCATTATTGTTGAATTGCACATAACCTTACTTTTACTCTGATTAAAAAATACTGGCATTTATGAAATATTGTCAAAAACCTGACTACTGTGTTTAATATGTAAAACCTCCTAAAGACCAATAAACCATGAATGAATTGAGCCTCTTATTGTACTCAGAATTAATACAGATACTAAACAACAAGTTTTACCCTGAATTACTGTCCTTAACCCACGACAGTCAGCAACAGAAAGGTGACAATTTGTTCTTGGTCTCTTACGACGCCTCTCATATTCCTTCTAACTCAACAACCAAACTTTACGCTCAAAAATCATTGCTTTTGTATCAAGAATTTTGTCATTGTTGGGAAGCTCCAACTAGTCGAGATATTTTTCAGAATTAAAAAAAAAAGTTATTGAAAACAACACAGATCACTGAAGATCATGGTCATTAACAGCTTGATTCATATATGACTTGCTCATTGAATACAAACATATAAGTGACTATGAATTAAGGTCATAATATACTGACACCAATATCTGTTATAACATCAGTAGCTGATACATATACATAAATATAGACATATTAAATACTCAAACATGGAAAATTACAAAACTAAATATTCAAATCATAAAAACCGAAATAATTAACATGACTAGGAAACTAATGGCAGGAAAACATTCATTCAAGTCTTAGAATTATAAATATGACATAACGGGATCACAAATAGTTCTGTAGTAAGATTGTCTGGATGTAGCTATATTGGTTTAAAACAACAATTACTTTCTTTCCCATCAATAAAGACAAGAAACATGAAAATATTCAGATCTTTAGAATGTTATTTTTAAACTTGAGCTTATGACTTCTTGCCTGAAAGTGTACATACAAATGTTTCAGTTCTGTTTCAAGTTTTCTATCATTTTTTTGTTTGTTAATTTGAGTCATACAAATGTATCAGTATGTTTGGCAAGAAATTCAAAAACATCCAAAAGTTGTTCAGATAGATATTGAAGAATCACATTTAAATTTACATTAAGTTACCTATTGACATGCTTATTTGATGGAGGCTTTAACAATACTGTCCGTACGGATTTCAACAGATGTCAACATAATATTGGGACAAATCTTGTTATCATCAATGCAGTAAAACAACAGATATGTTATAGGTTTATAACTAACAACCATGATGTAAATGTATTGTATTTCATAATGTAAGAACAACAATGTAAATGTGTATTTTATAATGTATAAACATGATTTACATGTATTCAATGTTGTTACGATGTGGGTAAGATCAAAACAAAAATTAAACATGAACATCAGGAAAAATAAAGAGGAATGGTACATAAATGGTCTGTTTAGCAATAGAATAAAAAAAGAAATTGCTGACTGAACCCTTTGCTACAGTTTCTGAGTACTCTCTACATGATGGTTAAATGTTAAAATATAAAAATCGGACAAAAGCAGGTACAAAAACGACAAACAAATTCTACTGTTATGCTACAGCATCAGTTCTAACAGAATAAGACAGGGAAAATGGCATTAATGATTTTTTTTATTAAATTTTCCAAAAATGAAAAGAATTTCATGAAATAGTTTCCAAAATATATTAATTTCATTTATTTTTTGTATTCTCTAAACCTTTTGCTTTCTATACAGAACAGCTAAAATTATTATCAAATATTGTCCTCACTATTTTGTGTTCCCCTCTCCATCCCACACATGCACAAATATCTCTTGTGCCCACTACACATAAACCCCCATTATAAATCCAATTTATACATGTATTGAATAGCCCTCACTGGAAAGAGGTTTATTTCCAATCTAACATTATGTTCACACCCAAGTCCTTGTGTTTCTGTGATGAAGTTACAGTTCAATTTGATATATTGTAATATTATTTTAGTGGAAATTCATTCTATTTCAATTAAAATATTATTTTACATTTATATAATATTTTAGAGGTAACAGATATATTATTGACATGTAAAATTATTTTAGTGAAATATAAATGTAGTGGTAATGCTATTTAACAGGTATCATAAACATATTGTGGAAATGTTACTTTTACAGAAAATTTCAGCTGAAATAATATTTCAATTGAGAAAAAAACAACATTTTAGTGACAATGGAAATATCACATTGATTGATGGTTGTATTATTTTAGTCTACCATGGTAAATTAATTGAAACAAAATCTTTAATTTAATAACATTATTTAAGGACTAAATGCACCTAATTTATGAACGCGTTGTTTATTGCATTTAGTTCTGTATGAGATACTAAATGTTTACATTCTCTATAGAGACAGTATGTCAAGATGCACAGCCCAATGTCAGACAAAGCATGATCAGCTTAATGTGTCCATTTCTAAAGGCATTAAGCTAACCAGGCTTTGTACAGCTTGGCAAAGGTGCTTTTGTTACATTATTTTTTATGAGATTTTAAAATTATTGTCTTTGATTATCAACAAAAATATTTACATAACATGCCCATTAAAATTTGTTCATAAAATTTCTACACCCAACAAGTTTGCGGATAAGCTCCACATGGAATGCAAATAAAACCCAGGAACTCGCAGCAGAATCTTCCACACGGAATGTACAGGTAGACCCCAAAATCTCATTTTACTGCAGTTGCAAGTAAACTTGTTAAATTTTTACAACCCAATTCCAACCATACATATCATATACATGAATCCCATAACTTACAGAAGCTATCCAGTTTGTGAAGATTGTACATTGTTAGTACAGGATGGTAGTAGAATTATTTTTACTCGTCATAAAAATATCTGCAAAAATTTGGATCACCTCAAGAAGGGCAGACCTACAGTAACTTATAAATAGCCTGTGTCAGATCTGACACTCTTCAGATGAGATTCACTACTCTTGTTTGGCAGAAGATTTCCACTCTGTGGTCCACAGCTGTCCTAACGGAATGTTTCTTCCTCCGAGTCATGGTAGCGACTGACATGGTGACTATTTAGATTTGCCTCCTCTTGGTCGGATCTACAAAGTACCCAAATTGACAATATTATTCTCAAAAATCTTGATAGTTGGCCTCAATTGAAAACAGCCCGACCTCGATAATTGATAATAAGCCTGGGACGCCTGCAATCATGTATAACTCGAAATTTAAGCAAGTTTCAAACATAGGCCTTGAAAATATACCTTGAATTCCTTGCAGTTAATCTGCAGTCAAGGGTGGAATAAAAATAACCCTGAAAATATCTAGAGCTTTGGTGTAATTTGTGCACCCCCTGAAAATCATACTTTACTTCATCACTAAAACACTGCACAAATTACTGACATTTTTACAGTAAATGCTTGTGATTATCACAGCATATTGTGACAGCAATAATGCAATTATAACATGGACTGTATAATAGGTTATAAATGTAAGACAGCATTGAAAATAAATAATACAGTCTAACTGGCTTGGAAAATAAGATGACCTTGATAAAAGGTCAGTTTCAAAAACAATCCTTTTCGAGATATGTCTGAAAACGTGAAAACTACGAGGTATAAAACAGAAAGAGCTTGAAGATATTTTGTCGCCCTCTTTAAAACAAACAACTCAATGGATAGGGAAAAGGATGTATTTTTTTTTATTATTACACACATTTCCAGATACAAATTACACATACAACTTACCCATAATGCACTTCTTCGTCCGAGTCATTCAACATAGATATAGCTGGGTTGTCCTTCAGGTTACTCTCTGAAGTGGGGAGACATACACACATTATATACACACATTATATACACAGAGTTAAAGTAGCTATACATATAAAATCTTACATCAGTTTCCATTTCATATGAGATTTATGAAATGAGTCGAAGAATTTTTCAAATTATAGGCTAAATGAAAAACTGGTGGCAAGTTTCATAAATTTCATATGAAATGAAAACGAATGTAAGATCCTGTAAAATGACAATTTTCATGCAACCTTGAAATGTAAAAAGCCGCCATTTTGACTTCAGTGCACAAGTCTGTGATGTCATGTGCTTGTCCTAGGCGTTGACGTCACAATTGAAACAATTGAAACTTACAACCAATTACAGGGCTGATAGGTGATATTACATGGGTTAATAAGCAAAAAATATGACATGGGTTTATTCACTGGATAACACAGTACATTATGTGATAAATATATCTTATTCATGTCCTTTTAACCCTTTCACCCCTATGCAACTTTAGTGGACTCTATCATGCTTTGATCTGGGTGAGTCCATTATGGTCTACAGTGGTGAAAGGGTTAAATAGAGGTTAATCAATGATTTTTCTAACATATATGCCTGTATGAAGGGAAATAGGTTATGTCCATACTGTCAATAGGAATTCATGTTAAACATTTGATGTAAATGATTTGCTTTCCTAGCAGGATAAATGTTTAAAAAAATTGTTTTATGCATACACAGTTTATTTACATTCTAAATTTTAACTAATAGGTGTCTAGATGACATCACAAGGGAAGATAACTCATGTATGCCAACTCCCATATCACTGGGGAACAAGCAACAGCAATGTTTATATCACACCTGATTTCAACCCAAGACCTCAAACCCATATCAACCTGAGGGACCCAAAATGAATATGATTAGATGATCTAAACTCTTTCACCCCTAGGTAACTTGAGTAGACTCTACCATACATTCATCTGGATGAGTCCACTATGTTCCACAGTGGTAAAAGGGTTAACTTTTACTGTTCATTTTCATTTTCTGTACATGTCGATACACTTGTATTACTATATTGGAACTGAATACTTACCAAACTGTGCATTTTTGGAAGGTGAATAAACAAACGCCATCGTGTACATGTAGAAATTCAGGAGACCGTAAAACGACACGAACTCAATGGAGTTTTCGTAGTTCGTAGAGAGCTCTGCCACGAAGTTGTCCTGGAGGGCTGCTGCCCCAAACCGCATCACAGTTATCGTCACGCTTATCGACAGCACTATCAGCATCAGCAACGTCATAAATTTCAGGCGGATATCTGTCAAAACAGACGTCACAATTTCAATGTTAAGTCTTTTAGTGCACTAAGATATTAAGTACATTAACAGTATTTTTCAGACTCTGGTTATAGGTCCGACACAAATTGCCCTCACCACATCTGAAAATGATTTTCCCACCTTTATCAGGGACTGGATGCAAGCTTTTTGTGTGCTAGGCTAATTTGTAGATACGTACATATTGAATACAAAGTCAATGTAACAAAATCAAAAGTGTATTTTGAAAACATTCTATACAAATATCTTACCAAAATAAGGCATGGATCGCAGCTCAGCGTAAGCTCGGACCAGCAGGTATAGCAAGTATAACAGATATAGGCCGCCAACGATGAAAAAGAAAATCTTGAAACCCTGCAAAAATGAAAGTCAGATTTATGAAGTATTATAAAATGCAAGAAGATATTGACCAGATTTATATGAGACAAATTTTCAAAATCCATAATAAACACTTTCTGATAATTTATCTGAACACAAGACACACCAACAGTTTTAAAAACTTCTCTGGGTGTTTTAATAAAAACCGATTTGACAATTATTGTAAATCACTTGTGATAAGCAAACAATAATTTTAGTAAGTTTGCCTAAGTCTATAGATGTATTGGACCTGTGGGTCAAACACATGGTTTGCAGGACATACCATGAAGTTGGTCGTGTCCAGACGGTAGTAGTACGTAGGATCCTGTAGTTCATTGTAGCCCTGCCAGGAAGCTAGAGTGACCGCTGTGATCCAAATCAGTCCTACGATGATAAATTTCGGCAGGTAAAACTTGGCAAATCTCCGGTCAGTCTGTAACAAAGGAATTAAAGCCAAAGGTAAATCAGAAGGATTGTGATGACCATGACATCAGTACATGTACACCTATACCAGATTAACAAAGATAGATCTCCTTCAAAACATGCATAAACTTATGCAGACCCTCAAAATTGTATCAACAAGTGTATCGAAACATATTACCTTCAAATTGAACATAACCATTTATATTTTGGACTGTACATGTTCGCAATTGCATGTCTGTGAATGTATGAATATCTTAGCTTCACAAATTCATGGTTGAAATTTTTCATGATTTGACTCTTCAAACCACTTGCTGTACAGAGTGTGTTGTATTGGTATTGTTTACTAGATTTGTTTCCAGTATGAAGTTGCGGGTATACAATTTTGCACGACAAAGTCAATAGTTCATACACCTCGCTTAATCACATTTAGCAGAAAAATCAACATTGTGTCCCAGCCAAACTTGCTAGCTGAATCCAGGACTCAATATTCCTTTCAGAAATCTCTTGAATTTGTACCTGTCTGACACCATGGTATATGCACAGCCAAAACATGAGTAGTCCGCACAGGAAGGATGCCTGGAACACACCATCAAGGATACCAGGAACCCAGCTGTTTACCAGGAACGTCATCGGGAACAACGGATCTGGAAACAGACAGAGTTGGTAAATTACAAAAATGGTTTCAGTCCATGAGAAGAAATTGTTATTAACAAAGCTTAGATAACTCAATAATTTGATTTTACATGACATTTATTTCATATACATATCATAAGGATGTAAAGATAGGTTCTTCCCCTGTAAAATCTGTAAAAATATTTAACAGTATTTCATACAGTGTTTTATAACAATCTTTCAATTTTATGACAATCTCTGAACTAAAAATGTTTTTGAGAATTCACAGAAAGATCATTTAACTTCCACAATGTTATTACTTGGTTGTATATCATTATAAGGAAATTGTGTCAGTTTTTTTCGATTCCCCTGGACACTTCTTGTCCTGAGAAGAGCTCTTACCATTATAGAGGAGAAGCAGAGGCAACAACACGGAGATCCATTTCTGTTCGATTGACCAGTCCCTCATGGAAAACTTCCTCAGGGAATGGGCAAACAGGCACTGGAAATAACAGTGAGGTCACATGTTTTAGTTACATTCATCAACCAATTTAGGAAATTATCATTATACATTTATTGCCCTTGTGGTAGCAGTCATGTTTTCAAATCACAAAGACAATAAAAGTTCTGTCATACTGAATTTCACAATAACACAACATTTAAGATGGTCAAATTAATACACCTTTGTTGTCATCAGCTTCAGTAGCTCCAAACTCTGGTGCAGTAGTTTTTGCCCAATTTTCTAGACAGAATTTGAATATGGAAAATATGACCGGGGAAACTTGAGCATGAGGGTGAGGCAATGTTTTATTTCTCGTCATGTGATCAGTTTCATCTAACCCGACATGCTGCTTTTTGATGAGTTATAATATCTTGTACATCATTTAAAACTTAATTAATCAATCCATTAATGGCTTTCATTGTTTAACAAGTAGTCAACTGTAAAATTAAGTATTAACTTGAACAAACATTGATTGCTATAGACATTCCAAATCAATAAGATATTGAAGTGAAAAAAGTTAGAAGGAAGATGGCTTCAACAAGTAGATGGTAGGGTAATATAAACAAAGCAATGACAAATAAATAACTGGAAGGATGAGTTGACAAAATAGGTAAACAACTATACCAGAGCAAAGGCCTAGGGTATATATGGTTTGGTTTGTTTGTGTTTTATGTTTTATGGTGACAGGCTAAGTAGATCTTGAACCTGCGACTCAGTAGTAGAGAGTTAGTAATTATAGACGGTCAGACGCCTTAACCACTATGTCACTGCAGCCCCGC